AACGAACAGAAGCTCGGGTGCACCGTCTTCGGCATCATCGGGGGACTGTTCGATGCCTATGCGTGCGATGTCCCAAACGTTGATGCGACGGTCGGATGAGGCGGAGGCAAAGATTGAAGGATTGTGCGGAGACCATGCGAGGTGAAGGACTTCGTCAGTGTGCGCTTCGAAGACGTGTTCGGGTTTATCGAGTTTGCGAATATCGCGCATGTGTATCGTCTTGTCGGCGCTACCAGTCAAGATGAGATGCGAGTGGTCGGGTTTGAGCGCGAACGCGACGGCTAGGATCTCCTGGTCATGAGCCTGGACGGACATTGCAGCCTCCTTCTGTCTCAGATCCCAGCTACAGATGCGAAGATTAGAGAATGGCTATAAAGACAGGACATAGCACTTACACCTTCAACATCTTGTCGTCACCAACACTCGCAAACATGTTCTCGTCTGTTGCGTGCCAGTCCACGTCCTATCAGATGGTCAATTAGCATGAAGCCTTTTGAGCTAGTAATAGGGACATACGCCAACGACTGACGAATGCTCCGCGAAGATGTTCACGGGACTGAGTGTAGCCTCACCCTTTGTGTACGCATTGAGGTCCCTGACGTAGAGATATCAGCATATAGCTAGATAAATGCGCTGAAGGCCATACCAATGGCAGACCGTCTGGTCTTCAGACGCAGCGATGATGTGGCCCTTCTTGTTCGGATTCCACGCTAACCCGAACCCTTCGCGCGACTGGCCGACAAGCTTGATATCAGGCTTACATACTCCGCTCTTCTCCGGGTCGCTTGGATGGCGTGTCCTATCGAAGACAAGTACGTCGCCACTAACAGCCTTCGTTGCCAGCATATCCGGGTTCTGCGGCATGTATCGCGCGCGGTTGACCTCGCCGGCATGGTTGATGCGTTGCACTATGCTAATGCGCGGAGTGGTCGGTAGTGTGTGTCCACCAAGTTCGCCACGTGCGTCGTCGTAGTTGCTGTTGTCGAGCGTGTCCGCGCCGGGACCGCTCCGTTTCGGGATGTAGACCTCGGCGATTTGAAGGTAGTCGGGCGCCTGAGAGGATGTGTGTGTGCCCAGCAACATGCGGTGTGTCGTGTAGGGCTTATCTGAGGATCTTAGGGAGGGTTAATGGTAATCCATGTGATGACGATAGTAAACACACTGGTCCTTGTCGGGAAACCATTGGCAGGTCAAACTCGGCCAGTCCAGCGCGTGAGTTATGATCAAATCGTAGAGATACGGCGCATTCTTTTTCCTAGATTGCGTATCAGCGTAACCCTAGCGGATGATAATGCGTTATGTACCAAGTCTTGTATTCCTAGAGAGGTGGCACGCGTCAACAGGATAGGCGCTGGAGCAACACGCGGACAAACCTCGTTTATGAGCTTGTTCTCCTCCTCCTCATCTTCCATCTCCTGCTCGTCGTCAAATGGTGCTTGCATGCTTATGTATTTCTCAGATAATGAGGTCTCGGAGGTCTAGTCTCGGCCAGTCAGGCGCCAACCAGCAGGGCAAGATGGAGGTCAAGACGCGAACTTCGAACTTAGCGCGCGACGCGTTCAACTCACGGGTCGCGACTTTTCACGCGCTTGTCAGTCACCTCCCGGTTCAGCTTCCGCCTTCCTCAATTTGCCACTTCTATCTCTTAGAGAACATACGGGAAGAACATGTACGGGGACACATGCAAAAGAGCGACATGATAAAAGCCGGCCGCAAGCCGCCTAACCGACCGTATGCGCGACACATTCAATCCGCCTGCGAATCATGTCGCGCGAGCATGAGGGTTTCTCTAGGATATATTATGACAGACAAATGATGCAAGGTACGGTGTAGGCGGGATGCGAGGATGGATCAGGGAGCGAGGGTGGGGTAGGGTAGGTTTACGACGACGTCTCGTACTTGGCGATGACCTTCTCCAGGTCGAATCGCGGGTCTTCCGGGTCCGTCACGGCTAGGCATAGTTTCAATATGGTTCACATATACAAATTATAGGAAATACTCACTGTCGTCTGCCGTTGCGCTCGCCGCCTGCTTCTGTTTCCACGCCTCCTTCGCCTTGGCCAGCAACTCCTCCTGGTGGTGCTGCTTGTGGTGCGCCTGGTGCTCCGCGTGCTGCTTTTGTACAGTTCGGTTGTGCACGAATCCGTAGAGAATGCCGGTGGCGAGCGCGGTATACCGCACAACCTGCACCTTGCCATTAGTCGACCGCATGAGCAAATAGGCGCGTGCTACGAACGGTAACGGTTGCGGAAGGGGCCATTATGTAGTCGCTATAGAAGTAAGGCGGGACCCAGAAGACGGCGGCTGAGCCTGCGCAAAATGTCAGTACACATTGCAGCGAGATGTTGCAGCAGTTCACACCTTGGGAGTGACGGGAGGAGCGAAGGTGTTGAGTTGGCCGACGCCGCGGCGGGAGAATTCGGCGCGCCGCGAGAGCGACGGCGGATGCCGGCCATAGCCTTTTAACTCTGCACCACCACCACTCCCCGGCTATGAAATATATCGAGGCTTCCTTGCATGTGTCAAGGGATTATACCACACTTCAAAGAGTTCAACGGCTCTACACCTTTGTTCAAGGATCGCCGAACCCATTTCCGGCCCTAGGCCGTACCTCTTCCCATCAGTGCGCTCCTCATGGCTCCGACTATCGCTATACATGGATTCTAGCTGTTTCCTTCCGGGTTAAAGACGGCTCAAGGTCCAACTATCGCTCGTGTATCCTTGAGAACCTTATCCACAGTGTGCGGTGCCATTACCCGTTGCCCGTCTGAGCCTCCGGGATATTATTTCCTTGCAGCATGGTCCTCGCTTGGGAAGTACGTATTTGGAACTTCTGCGAACGCAGATGATGCATCCACATCTCCACCGGACCGTTGATGCCAGGCTAACCTCCCCGCAACTTGCATATGCTTCTGTTCTTCTCATGACATACGGCGACTCAGCGCTTATAAGAGCCCAGATCGCTTGCCGGCGCCGGCATTTCGACTTCACCCCAAATCTCTAGCCCGACTTGCGTTATGACCCCTCCATTGAAGCTCCCAATCAATCGCGTAGCAATCGTGACGGGCGCTGCGCGTGGGATTGGAAGAGGTATCGCGCTGCGCCTGGCGCGAGATGGGCACGACGTCGCTGTCGCGGACGTGAAGGGAAGCGCCGTATACGAGGTGGAACGCGAGATCAAGGCCCTCGGAGTGCGGTCTATTGCACGATACACGGATGTATCAAAGGAGCAGGAAGTAGAAGATCTCGTGGGGGCCGTCGCGCGCAAGTTGGGTGGTCTCGATATAGTATGTTCTTTACCCACCACGAGCGACCCGTGACTCACGATACCTTCACAGATGGTAGCAAATGCCGGTGTTCCTCACTTTGGCTCTGTGCTCGACAGTACGTCAGTGGCATACGGCTCACGGGACCGTTCATATATCTCCCGCAGCAAAGCTCGAAGATTACCAGCACGTAATGGCGAACAACGCGCAGGGTGTGTTCCTGTGCTATAAGCACGCTGGACTCAGAATGGTAGAGCAGGGTCGAGGAGGGCGCATCGTCGGTGAGTAAGAAGGCGCTTCACTATGTGCGACCTTGAACTCAATTGGGACGGAACAGGCGCGTGCTCAATGGCGGGGAAGATGGGAAATAGAGCGTGGTTCTCTTACACCGCGAGCAAGTTCGCCGTTCGGGGAATGACCCAAGCCGCAGGTGCGTTCTTACCCATGGCACAGATGTTGATACGATCTGAATCCCTTCATTTAGCTCTTGAACTCGCGCGTCACGGTATCACCGTCAACGCTTTCGCGGCAGGCGCGATCGAGTCGCAGATGCGTAAGCCTTGTGCACAACCCTCGACAACGCGACTGCGGCCGACTCACTTTTCCATTCAGTTCGTGATGCTGCCGCACACCCATACAACAGGGATGTTATCAAAAACGAAAACAAACATCTCCTCACGAACATCCCTGTCGGTCGCATAGGTCAACCGGAGGATATTGCAAGTTATGTCTCCTGGCTTACATCTGATGATTCTGGCTTCGTCACCGGTGCGTGTAGTTGCCATCCAGTCTTGATGCTTGTCGGAAGGACCAGGTACTCAATGCAATGCAGGACAAACTGTCAATATCAATGGCGGCATGTTATTCGACTAGAACGTGATTTCAACAATTTTACTGCCATTACCGCACTCGCCCTCTTCCAACAAAGTTGTGCAATAGAAGATCATTGTGCATCACCTCGCGCCCAAGAAAGGGCCCTTCGCAGCCCGCAGGGCTATGCACAGTACTGACTGAACTAATGCTGATAAAGTCGTCGGGCACTCACTGCGACACAAACAGATCGGACTGCGCTTGCTTGCACCGCTCTGCACTTCGACTACGATCATACTGCGAGGTTGATTACGTGAGATGACGCGTGGCGTTTAGCCACCTCGTGACCTGACATTATAAGCGCTCTGACTGCGACGGTGAACAGACCGCGGTGAACCTGCCGCAGCACCTTGTCTTCTCTACTCAATCTCCCTGAGGGCTATGACGCAGGACTCGCGGCAATGTGCTATTAAGCAGCATCGGAAATCGCGGGGGAGGCTTTACAGATCTATCGCCGCTAAGACTCGAGATGACATCCCCTCTGAAGCTCGCTCCCCACCGCGTTGCAATCGTCACTGGTGCTGCAAGCGGTCTCGGTAGAAGCATAGCCCTACGTCTCGCACAAGATGGGCATGATGTAGCGGTCACTGACCTCCCCGGAACACGCGTGCCGGAAGTGGCAGACGAAATCAAGTCGCTTGGGAGAAGGTCCATGGTGCTTTTCACAGACTTAACGAAGGATGAAGAAGTCCAGAAGATGGTGGACGACGTTGTGAATGAGCTGGGGAGCGTCGACATCGTGCGTCTGTATCCATCCCCTGCGCCTATCATGTTGCTGACCGGATGCAGATGGTGGCGAATGCCGGGATCCATATGTCCGGCAACGTCTTGGATGGTGCGCACGAGTCTCCCCCCGCTTCTGATGCATATCACCTCAAATACCATACAGCGTCTTTCGAAGACTACGAGACAGTCATGCGCATCAATGCCTCCTCCGTCTTTCTGTGCTACAAGTATGCAGCTCGGAAGATGGTCGAGCAAGGTCGTGGAGGTCGCATCATTGGCGCGTATCTTGAACTGATTACGATGATCACCCTGATTGACACATATCCCTCTAGGAGCATCGTCGCAGTCGGGAAAGGTTGCTGAAAGGACGAGCTTAGCGTATTGCGCCAGCAAATTTGCAGTTCGAGGAATGACCCAGTCGGCCGGTGAGTATCCTTAAAATAAACTAGACTATTCTGCGCTGACACTCGGTCTCAGCTCTAGAATTGGCTCGTTATCATATAACGGTCAATGGTCAGTGCCCGTGATCTACAATTTCTGCATAGTAGCTCATTGTGTTCTAGGCTATGCACCCGGCCCGATCGAAACGCCCATGAGTGCGTTCTCGCTTCCTCATTCCTGCTTGCCCAGTCTTGATCGAATCACTCTGACAGTGCGCGCCGCTCTCGACAACAAGGTTTGGGAAGAATCGAGGATCTTGGCAGGTATACCTGTGGGGCGACTAGGCGTACCAGACGAGGTGGCAAGTTACGTGTCCTGGCTTGCTTCTGAAGGTGCTGGGTTTGTGACTGGTACGTACTCACATTCCACGTTCTTGTGATATGCTACACTATTGACGCCGGTACCTGTACAGGTCAAACGATGTACATCAACGGTGGGCAGCACCTTGATTAGGACAGATTTCTTGTGCCAAAATACATGTCGTATATGCCTTGCTTCGACCATATCAGTGGTGTCGGCGCTAAGCGACTGATTCGATCAATGTCCGAGCGTCCCTAAGCCTAGACCTCCGCCACCTCCTCCTCCACAATGGGTATCTTCTTCGCTCATCCTGTGGGGAACACAGGGTCACCGGGCCGCACAATGATAGGTGATACGGTGACTAGCCTGATTCCATGTCAGGATCACTATAAGGACAACACGAGACGTCAATTCCGGCAATCGTGTTCTCACTGCGCGTTCTCATGTCTTCTTCGCTCCGGCTCGCAACGCATCGCGTAGCTATCGTCACGGGCGCCGCTCGAGGTATTGGAAAAAGCGTTGCTCTACGCCTTGCACAGGACGGTCACGATGTGGCGGTCGTGGACATGCGGGGCAGTGCCGTGTACGAGGTCGAGCGTGAGATCAAGGCACTCGGTAGACGGTCAATGGCGCTCTACACGGACGTATCTAAGGATCAAGAGGTCGAGAAAATGGTAAATGACGTTGCGGGCAAATTGGGCGGTGTCGATATAGTACGTCCAGTCCTCTCAAGGAGTGTGCCATGACTGAGAGAGATTCAGATGGTTGCAAACGCCGGTATATGTCGCGCGGGGACTGTTCTGGATAGTACGTGGACAGTACTGTCAACCGCATGCCACTGAACGGGAGCTAGCGCGCACTGAGGATTTCAGAAACATCATGGACGTGAACGCGTCTGGTGTCTTCTTCTGTTATAAGCACGCCGGGTTGAGGATGGTCAAGCAAGGTCGTGGTGGACGTATAATCGGTGTGTCGTGTTCCCATGACCGTGAATACCTCGGATCAACGTTTCTCGCAGGTGCTTCTTCGGGCGCTGGTAAGATTGGCGGTAAACATTGGTTCGCCTACAGCGCCAGCAAGTTCGCCGTACGTGGGATGACGCAAGCCGCAGGTGCGCTGCTGTTTTCCACTTGTATGAAACGGATATCTTGCCATGCACTCAAGTCTTCTGATTCGCAGCTCTCGAACTGGCTCAGTATAACATCACTGTCAACGCTTACGCGCCGGGGGTGATCGAGACCAAGATGTGTATGTGACTGTCCCGGTTTCATACCCGCAACTCAATCGGCTTTAGCTCAGGAGCTATTCGAATCACTTCAGGATCAGAGCATTCGCTCGCATATCTTGGCGGCGACACCAGTGGGCCGCTTTGGAGACCCTGATGACATTGCCAACTACGTTTCATGGCTCACATCAGAGGACTCAGCCTTTGTCACCGGTACGTGCGACCTCCAGTCATTTCCCAAACAGAGCTGACTGTGTGTTGCTATATATCACAGGTCAGACAGTCAGCATTTCCGGGGGTGCATACTTCGATTAGGAAGACACCGACGCTTTGCGAAGAAGACGTTGCCCGGCTCTACCCTTTCGAGGGGACCTTCCTTGAACCCCATTCGCAATATGTTTACGTCCAGGACATAACTTTATTCCCTCACAAAGTGTATCGAACATGATGACCCTGCGTCATGAGGTTCTCCCCGTGTACGTTCTGTGAATTTGCGATTGAATTGAATTGTACGCCGACCATAACCTGACTGATGCTTGTTCGGCGACCTCACGCACATCGGCTTCCCTTCCCATAGCGCACGCCGCTGACCTCAATGTATAAGGAAGAAGGACAAGGTTTGCAAAATGGCCGTCCCCTTTCGCAACCATGACTGCTGCTACGTCGCTTAAACACTCCGCGAAGCGCGTCGCCATTGTCACAGGTAGTGCCCGCGGCATAGGAAAGAGCATTGCTCTGCGTCTGGCGCGCGACGGACACGATGTCGCCGTCGCGGACATACCCGGGAGCTCAGTGGCCGAAGTCGCTCAAGAGATCGCCGCGCTAGGAAGAAGGTCCATGATACACCACCTTGATGTCTCGCAGGAACATCAGGTCAGGGAGTTGGTGGATAACGTCGGGGACAGGCTGGGCAGCGTCGATGTGGTATGGGATCATCATATTGACTCAATGGGAGGCTTAGACGAATCTTGACAGATGGTGGCGAATGCTGGAATTGCGCACATAGGGTCCGTGTTGAACAGTCAGTACATCCACGCCTTCCTTAGACCCCTCATTGATACTAGTACTTTAGCGGCTCTCGAGGATTACGAGCGAGTCATGAACACCAATGCGAAAGGTGTCTTCCTTTGCTACAAATACGCAGGGTTGAAGATGGTACAGCAAGGACACGGAGGGCGCATCATTGGTAGGGGCGATTGCCATTGCCTCTGTACACGTGCTTGGTATTCTGACTACCTGCAGGTGCATCTTCCCTCCTAGGCAAGACTGGCGATAAGGATTGGTTCGCCTACACCGCGAGCAAGTATGCGGTTCGCGGTATGACACAGGCTGCGGGTACGCGACTGGCACTCCTTACCACTTCTTCGACTGAGATGTGTCTGTGCAGCCCTCGAGCTAGCTCCGCATGGCATCACCGTCAATGCTTACGCGCCTGGGTCCATAGACACGAGAATGTGTACGTCTCTCACAAAGTCACATCCGACATCGCTCGGCTTAACAAGACCGATCTCACAGTCCAGGATACCGCCTCTCGTACTCCGGACGCGGCTTTCATGAACCTGCCCGTCGGACGACTCGGTTCAGCCGACGAGGTGGCCGCCTACGTTTCATGGCTCACATCGGAGCACTCGGGCTTTGTTACTGGTATGCATCTGGCCATCCTCCCGCTCTGAGCCTAGCTCAATCAATGTACTACAGGTCAAACTGTCAACATCAATGGAGGCGCTTTATTTGACTGAGACCGTGTCCTTTTCTCAAAGGCTCTGGTGGTGGCGATGTTGTCTACTTCAATAAAACTGCTACGTAGCTTTAGGTGTAGGATAGCATATGTCACCCATATTCCTGGTCCCATTTGGGAACAGGTTTTCAAGTGTCACTCAAATTTTGGCACT